AAAAAAAGAGTGTAAACACTTAGTGTGTTCGTAAGGCAAACAATTTGTAGTGCTGCTATTGTTTGTGGTAGATCATTTCATCCTGGGAGATAGACGTCCGAATTCTGAAAGCACCGTGGAGAGGACGAATCTGTCTTAAGGACACAGTGTTAAACACTAGACTTGATCAGAAAAATAATTCGAAGAAATTAAATCAAGTAAGTTATTTAATTACTTTCAGTGTTGTATTTATTTGTTTATTTATTCAGATTTTAATTTTGTTTTTGTAACAAAATAAAATCTGTTTTGTTTTTTATTTATTTATTTTTCCGAGTTTGATTTTTGTAATCAAACAAATTCTCTCATTTTCTTTATTTCTTTAAATTCTAATTGTTATTGTGTACACAATAGAATTAAATCTTTTAAATACAGTGAAAATTATCCAACAAGCACAAAATATGCAGATTAACTATAATGTGCATTGTGAATATATATACCTTCTAACAATAGTAACTTTTCCCATTTTTGCTTCCAGAAAGGCAATACTAAAGTCAATATAGAACCCAAAAGCCATTTTACCCTGCATACAAAAAAAAAAAAATTAAAAATCTTCTCAGATTATTATTATATTACTTTGCTTAGTTATCATATAATTCAAAGTTTGACCGTTTGAATAGTTCAAGTTGAAGTATGGAAAGAAGGGGAATCATCTTCGTGAAAAATTATTACTATTGTGTACGGCAATGTTACAAATGGATTTACCATTATTCATTTGGTCCTGGGTTAGATTCATTTATAGCATTATTGCAAGCGATAGTAAAAAACTATTCCATTTTCTTTTTTGATCAACAAAGTGAAAATTTCATTAAAAACATGAAATTACAGGTACAGGAAGATGCAATACATCGAGAGAGATTCAGACAGTATAAAATACTCCTATTACTGCTACTCGCAAATATACAACCAACCCCTCGGTCTCACGATTTTTTTTTTAACAAAAGAAAACCAAAACTAGACCAAAACAATTAACTGCTCCATTTTCATGCATTACTTTAATTAAAAGTAAATAGAAAATGAATTAATGTGAACATAACAAAGTAGTGATCATTTCATTTTTGAACAAAAAATTATTTTTTGATTTATTTCATTCTTGTTGTCATTTTAAACAGTTGAGCACATACCAGGTTGGGAAGCTGGGTTTACTAGGAGGAGGTGGCACTGATGGTTGAACATTGTTGTTTTCATGCTTTGTTACCCTGAAATGCAAAAACAAAAATAACTAACTACTTTACCATTTGGCATATATATAACTAAGGAACTGGCTGATCTCCATTTACATGAGTTCTTTTTTTTTTTTTTTTGGTCCTTCTAATCCAGGACATGATCCAATTCAAGATAGATTAGACACTCAAATCTGAAGATAATGAGATGCAATGCACCACTTTTAATCACTAGACGAAAAGCAAGAGCATTCGCTTCGCCAAGAGTTGAATTAGTGAACTTGAAGGTTATAACCTCCACGTCTTACCAATTCAACTACACCCTCGAGTGCAGGTCTAGTTGGGTTTATAGGCTGCTTCACGGATTCAACTCAATAATTTAAATTGTTTATTTCGTAAATTCCTACATAGATTATCTATGAAAAAATTATATTGATCCGATAATATTAGCTATATGATTTCATCATATTTGAATAGCTTTTTTCAGACCGGGTGATATTATTGAGAGAAGAAGGGTAGAAAAAATAATCACATATCAGTGGTAGCCGGTGTGCTGCTGATTTGACTATCGGTGGCAGTGATCATTGGCCTCGAACCATGATGCATAGAACGATACCCATAACTGAATTTCGACAACCAGGCATCACGGTGGTGGAGTTGGTGTTGCTGCTGAGGCTGAGACAGATTGGGAGTGAAAAGCCGATAACGATAAAGCACTGTAACCAAACTCTGTAGTTTGTAAGACCCTGACGAATTTGACGTAATAGGCATCATGAAAAAATTTGTCTTTCGAAACAAGAGCTTGAATGATCCAAATCCAAAGCCTCTATACATTTATTAGTCATATATAAATATATGAGTTTGAAGCTTTTTTTCTAAGTTTGTAATGGATTTTACGCATTGCGTTGGGGAGTGTTTTGCACGCAAATTGTATGAGAAAATGCAGCAAAGAAAGGTCTGGTTTGAAAGACTCCCAACACGCCAAGCAATGACGTGTGCTATGATATGCTACGTTAGACATGGTCTTTTAAGGGCTATCTTTTATTTACCTAACAAAATGATCTAAAGTACAGGTCACCTTTTAATTGCAAGTTATTATAATACTTCAAACAGTTTCAAAGCTTTTTCCAGATAAAATTGTACTTTGTATAGATAATAAGAGAGAAAGAAGGAGAATGGTGTAACTTTAACGGTCTCATGCCTTTTGAGTTGGTTCTTTATTTCGAGTAATCAACAATGTTACAAAGTTTGAAGAAAAAAAAACAAAACACGTCTATGGATTATAGACACCCAAACGCGTCTCACGCTAAAGGAGGAAAGTGAACTTGAGATGCAAACGCGTCTCACGGGAGAGGAGGAATAGTAAACTTGAGATCCTAGCGCGTCTCACGCGAGAGGAGGAAAGTTAACATGAGATCCAAATACATTTCACGCGAGAGGAGAAATACTGAACAAATTCAAACGCGTCTCACGCGAGAGGAGAAAGGTAAACTTGAGATCCAAACGCATCTCACATGAGATAAGGAAAGTGAACTTGAGATCCAAACGCGTCCCATGCGAGAGAAGGAATGGTGAACTTGAGATTAAAACGCGTCCCATGCGAGAGGAGGAATTGTGAACTTGAGATCCAAATGCGTCTTATGCGAGAGGAGAAAAGTGAACTTGAGATCCAAACGCGTTTCACGCGAGAGGAGTAATAATGAACTTGAGATCCAAACACGTCTCATATGAGAGGTGGAAATCGAACTTGAGATCTAAACGCGTCTCACTCAAGAGAAGGAATTGTGAACTTGAGATCCTAACGCTTCACACGAGAGAAGGAATAGTGAATTTGAGATCCAAACGCGTCTCACGCGAAAAGAGGAATAGTGAACTTGTGATCCCAACGCGTCTCACGTGAGGGGAGAAAAGTGAACTTGTGATCCAAACGTGTGTCACGCTAGAGGAGGGAAGTGAAGTTGAGATCCAAACAGATCTCACGCGAGAGGAAGAAAGTGAACTTGAGATCCAAACGCGTCTCAAGCGCGAGAAGCAAAGTGAACTTGAGATCCAAATGCGTCTCATGCAAGAGGAGGAATAGCGAACTTGAGAGCCAAACACGTCTCACGCAAGAGGACAAAAGTGAACTTTAGATCCCAACGCATCTCACGCGAGAGGAGGAATAATGAACTCGAGATCCAAACGCGTCTCATGCGAGAGGAGAAAATCGAACTTGAGATCCAAACGCGACTCACGTGGGACGAGGAATATTGAACGTGAGATCTAAAAGCGTCTTATGCGAGAGGAGGTAAGTGAACTTGAGATCCAAACGCCTCTCAGGCGACAGGAGGAAAGTGAAATTGAGATCCAAACGCGTCTCACGCGAGAGGAGGAGAGCGAACTTGAGATCCAAACACGTCTCACGTGAGAGAAGGAAAGTGAACTTGAGATCCAAACGCGTCTCATGCAAGAAGAGAAAAGTGAACTTAAGATCTCAACGCATCTAACGCGAGACGAGGAAAAGTGAACTTGAGATCCAAACGTGTCTCACGGGAGAGGAGAAAAGTGAACTTGAGATCCAAACGCATCTCACGCGGGAGGAGTAATAATGAACTTGAGATCCAAACACGCCTCACGTGAGAGAAGGAAATTGAACTTGAGATCCAAACGCGTCTCACTCGAGAGGAGGAATTGTGAACTTGAGATCCCAATGTGTCTCACGCGAGAGGAGGAATAGTGAACTTGAGATCCAAACGCTTTTCATGCTAGAAGAGAAACGTGAACTTGAGATCCCAACGCGTCTTACGCGAGAAGAGGAATGGTGAACTTGAGATCCAAACGTATCTTACGCGAAAGGAGAAAAGTGAACTTGAGATCCAAATGCGTCTCATGCGAGAGGAGGAATAGTGAACTTGTGATCAAAACGTGTCTCACGCGAGAGAAGGAAAGTGAGCTTAAGATCCAAACGCGTCTCACGCGAGAGGAGAAATAGTGAACGTGAGATCCAAATACGTCTCACGCGAGAGGAGGAATAGTGAATTAATCCAAACTGGTCTCACGCGAGAGGAGAACAGTGAAATTGAGATCCAAACGCGTCTCACGTGAAAGGAGGAGAGTGAACTTGAGATCAAAACACTTCTCCTACGAAAGGAGCAAAGTGAACAAATCAAAAAGCGTTTCACATGAGAGGAGAAAAGTGATCTTGAGATCTAAATGCGCCACACACAAGAGGAGGAAAGTGAACTTGAGATCCAAATGCATCTCTCGTGAGAGGAGGAAAGTGAACTTGAGATCTAAACGCATCTCACGCGAGAGGAGGAATAGTGAACGTGAGAACTAAATACATCTCATGCGAGAGAAGGAATAGTGAATTAATCCAAACTGGTCTCACGCGAGAGGAGAAAAGTGAAATTGAGATCCAAACGTGTCTCACGTGAGAGGAGGAGAGTGAACTTGAGATCAAAACGCTTCTCCTACGAAAGGAGCAAAGTGAACAAATCCAAAAGCATTTCACATGAGAGGAGAAAAGTGATCTTGAGATCCAAACGCGCCACACACGAGAGGAGGAAAGTGAACTTGAGATCCAAATGCATCTCTCGCGAGAGGAGGAAAGTGAACATGAGATCAAAACGCGTCTCATGCGAGATGAGGAACAGTGATTTTGAGATCCAAACACGTCTCACGCTAGAGGAGAAAGGTGAACTTGAGATCCAAATGCGTCTCACACGAGAGGAGAAAAGTGAAGTTGAGATCCAAACGTGTCTTACGCGAGAAGAGGAATAGTGAACTTGAGATCCAAATGTGTCTCACGCTAGAGGTAAGTGAACTTCAAATCCAAACACATCTCACGCGAGAGGAGAAAAAGTGAACTTGAGATCCAAACACGTGTCACGCTAGATGAGAAATAGTGAACTTGAGATCCAAACACGTCTCACGGGAGAGGAGGAAAGTTAACTTGATATCCAAACGCGTCTCACTCCAAATAAGGAATAGTGAACTTGAGATCCTAATGCGTGTCACGCAAGAGGAGGAAAGTGAACTAGACATCCAAACGCGTCTCACGCTAGAGGAGGAAAGTGAACTTGAGATCCAAACGCATCTCACGCAAGAGGAGGAATAGTGAACTTAATATCCTAACGCGTCTCATACGAGAGGAATAAAGTTAACATGAGATCCAAATGCGTCTCACACAAGAGGAGAAATAGGGAAGAAATCGAAACGCATCTTATGTGAGAGGAGAAATGTGAACTTGAGATCCAAACGCGTCTCACACGAGAGGAGGAAAGTGAACTTGAGATCCAAATGCGTCTCACGCAAGAGGAGGAATAGTGAACTTGAGAGCCAAACGCGTCTCGCGCAAGAGGAGAAAAGTGAACTTTAGATCCAAACGCATCTCACGCGAGAGAAGGAATAGTGAACTTGAGATCCCAACGCGTCTCATGCGAGAGAAGGAATAGTGAACTTGAGATCCAAACGCGTCTCACGCAAGAGGAGGAAATCGAACTTGAGATCCAAACGCGTCTCACGCGGGACGAGGAACATTTAACGTGAGATTTAAATGCGTCTCATGCGAGAGGAGGAAAGTAAACTTGAGATCTAAACGCGTCTCAGGCGACAGGAGGAAAGTGAAATTAAGATCCAAACGCGTCTCACGCGAGAGGAGGGGAGTGAACTTGAGATCCAAACGCGTCCCACGCGAGAGAAGGACAGTGAACTTCAGATCCAAACGCGTCTCATGCGAGAAAAGAAAAGTGAACTTGAGATCCCAACGCGTCTCACGCGAGAGGAGGAAAAGTGAACTTGAGATCCAAATGTGTCTCACGGGAGAGGAGAAAAGTGAACTTGAGATCCAAACACGTCTCACGCGGGAGGAGTAATAATGAACTTGAGATCCAAATGCATCTCACTCGAGAGGAGGAATTGTGAACTTGAGATCCCATCGTGTCTCACGCGAGAGGAGGAATAGTGAACTTGAGATCCAAACGCTTTTCATGCGAGAAGAGAAAGGTGAACTTGAGATCCAAACGCGTCTTACGCGAGAGTAGAAAAGTGAACTTGAGATTCAAACGCGTCTCACGCGAAAGGAGGAATAGTGAACTTGTGATCCAAATGCGTCTCACATGAGGGGAAGAACGTGAACTTGAGAGCCAAACGCGTCTCACGCGAGAGGAGGAATAGTGAATTAATCCAAACTGGTCTCACGCGAGAGGAGAAAAGTGAAATTGAGATCCAAACGCATCTCACGCGAGAGGAGGAGAGTGAACTTGAGATCCAAACGCTTCTCCCACGAGAGAAGCAAAGTGAACAAATCCAAAAGCGTCCCACGCGAGAGGAGAAGAGTGATCTTGAGATCCAAACGCGCCTCACACGAGAGGAGGAAAGTGAACTTAAGATCCAAACGCATCTCAGGCAAGAGGAGGAAAGTTAACTTGAGATCCAAACGCGCCTCATGCGAGAGGTGGAATAGTGATCTTGAGATCCAAACGCGTTTGACGTGAGAGGAAAAATAGTGAACAAATCCAAACGCGTATTATGCGAGAGGAGAAATGTGAACTTGAGATCCAAACGAGTCTCACGCGGGAGGAGGTAAGTGAAGTTGAGATCCAAGCGTGTCTCACGCGAGAGGAGGAATAGTGAACTTGAGATCCAAATGCATCTCACGCTAGGGGAGGAGAGTGAACTTGAGATCCAAACGCATCTCACATGAGAATAGGAATAGTGAACTTGAGATCCAAACACGTGTCATGCGAGAGGAGGAACAGTGAACTTGAGATCCAAACACGTCTCACCGGAGAGAAGGAAAGTTAACTTGATATCCAAATGCATCTCACTCCAGAGGAGGAATAATGAACTTGAGATCTTAATGCGTGTCACGCGAGAGGAGGAAAGTGAACTTGAGATCCAAACGCATCTCCCGCGAGAGGAGGAATAATGAACTTGAGATCCTAACGCATTTCATGCGAGAGGAGTAAAGTTAACATGAGATCCAATTGCGTCTCATGCAAGAGGAGAAATAATGAACAAATGGAAACGCGTCTCAAGCGAGAGGAGAAAGGTGAACTTAAGATCCAAACGTGTCTCACACGAGAGGAAGAAAGTGAACTTGAGATCCAAACGCATTTCACGGGAGAGGAGGAATAATGAACTTGAGATCCAAACACGTCTCAAGCGAGAGGAGGAATTGTGAACTTGACATCTAAACGCGTCTCACGTAGGAGGAGTAATAATGAACTTGAGATCCAAACACGTCACACATGAGAGGAGGAAATTGAACTTGAGATCCAAATGCGTCTCACGCTGGAGGAGGAATAGTGAACTTAAGATCCAAACACGTGTCACGCGAGAGAATGAATAGTGAACTTGAGATCCGAACACGTCTCACGGGAGAGGAGGAAAATTACCTTGATATCCAAACGCGTCTCACTCCAGAGAAGGAATAGTGAACTTAAGATCCTAACGCGTGTCACGCGAGAGGAGGAAAGTGAACTAGACACCCAAACGCGGCTTACGCTAGAAAAGGAAAGTGAACTTGAGATTCAAACGCAACTCACGTGAGAGTAGGAATAGTGAACTTCAGATCCTAATACGTCTCACGTGAGGGGAGGAAAGTTAACATGAGATCCAAACGTGTCTCACGCGAAAGGAGAAATAGTCAACAAATCGAAACGTGTCTCACGCGAGAGAAGAAAGGTGAACTTGAGATCCAAACGCGTCTCACGCAAGAGGAGGAAAGCGAAGTTGAGATCCAAACGCATCTCGCGTGAGAGGAGGAATTGTGAACTTGAGATCTAAACGCGTCTCATGTGAGACGAGGAAAGTGAACTTGAGCTCCAAACTCGTCTAACACAGGAGGAGTAATAATGAACTTGAGATCCAAACACGTCTCACGTGAGAGGAGGAAATTGAACTTGAGATCCAAACACGTCTCACTCGAGCGGAGGAATAGTGAACTTGAGATCTAAATGCATCTCACGCGAGAGAAGAAAAGTTAACATGAGATCGAAATGCGTCTCACGCAAGAGGAGAAATAGTGAACAAATCGAAACGCGTCTTACGCGAGAGGAGAAAAGTGAACTTGAGATCCAAATGCGTCTCACACGAGAGGCGGAAAGTGAACTGGAGATCCAAATGCGTCTCACGCAAGAGGAGTAATGGTGAACTTGAGATCAAAACACGTCGCACGCAAAAGAAGGAATTGTGAACTCGAGATCCAAACGCGACTCATGCGAGAGGAGAAAAATGAACTTGAGATCCAAACACGTCTCACGTGGGAGGAGTAATAATGAACTTGGGATCCAAACAAGTCTCATGTGAGAGGTGGAAATTGAACTTGAGATCCAAACGCGTCTCACTCGAGAGGAGAAATTGTGAACTTGAGATCCCAACGCTTCACGCGACAGGAGGAATAGTGAACTTGAGATCCAAACGCGTCTCATGGAAGAGGAGGAATTGTGAACTTGAGATCCAAACGTGTCTCACGGGAGAGGAGAAATAGTGAACTTGAGATCCCCATGCGTCTCACATGAGAGGAGGAAACATGTGTCACGGTAGATGAGGAAAGTGAACTTGAGATCCAAACACGTCTCACGCGAGAGGAGGAAAGTGAACTTGAGATCCAAACGCGTCTCAAGCGCGAAGAGCAAAGTGAACTTGAGATCCAAACGCGTCTCACGCAAGAGAAGGAATAGTGAACTTGAGAGCCAAACACGTCTCACGCAAGAGGAGAAAAATGAACTGTAGATCCAAACGCATCTCACGCGAAAGGAGGAATAGTGAACTTGAGATCCCAGCGCGTCTCACGCGAGAGGAGGAATAGTAAACTTGAGATCCAAACGCGTCTTACGCGAGAGGAAGAAATCAAACTTGAGATCCAAACGCGTCTCACGCGAGACGAGAAATATTCAACGTGAGATCTAAATGCGTCTCATGCGAGAGGAGGAAAGTGAACTTGAGATCCAAACGCGTCTCAGGCGACAGGAGGAAAGTGAAATGAAGATCCAAACACGTCTCACGCGGGAGGAGGAGAGTGTACTTGAGATCCAAACGTGTCTCACGTGAGAGAAGCAAAGTGAAATTGAGATCCAAACGCGTCTCATGGGAGAAGAGAAAAGTGAACTTGAGATCCCAACGCGTCTCACGCGAGAGGAGGAAAAGTGAACTTGAGATCCAAACGTGTCTCACGGGAGAGGAGAAAAGTGAACTTGAGATGCAAACACGCCTCACACGAGAGGAGGAAAGTGAACTTGAGATCCAAACGCATCTCACACGAGAGGAGGAAAGTGAACATGAGATCCAAACGGGTCTCATGCGAGAGGTGGAATAGTGATCTTGAGATACAAACGGGTTTAACGCGAGAGGAAAAATAGTGAACAAATCTAATCGCGTCTCCCGCGAGAGGAAAAAGGTGAACTTGAGATCCAAATGCGTCTCACGCGAGAGAAGGAGAGTGAACTTGAGATCCAAAGGCGTCTCACGCGAGAGGAGGAATAGTGAACTTGAGATCCAAAAGCGTCTCACGTGAGAGGAGGAATTGTGAACTTGAGATCTAAAAGCGTCTCATGCGAGACGAGGAAAGTGAACTTGAGATCCAAACACGTCTCACGAAAAAGGAGGAAATTGAACTTGAGATCCAACCGCGTCTCACGCGAGAGGAGGAATAGTGAACTTGAGATCCAAAAGCGTCTCACACGAGAGGAGGAATAGTGAACTTGAGATCCAAACTTGTCTCACGTAAGAGGAGGAATAGTGAACTTGAGATCCAAATGCGTCTCACGCTAGAAGAGGGAAGTGAACTTGAGATCCAAACACGTCTCGCACGAGAGGAGGAATAGTGAGCTTGAGATCCAAACACGTGTCATGCGAGAAGAGGAATAATGAACTTGAGATCCAAACACGTCTCACGGGAGTGGAGGAAAGTTAACTTGATATCCGAACGCGTCTCACTCCAGAGGAAGAATAGTGAACTTGAGATCCTAACGCGTGTCACGCGAGAAGAGAAAAGTGAACTAGACACCCAAACGCGTCTCACGCAGGAGGAGGAAAGTGAACTTGAGATCCAAACGCATCTCACGCGAGAGAAGGAATAGTGAACTTGAGATCCTAACACGTCTCACGCGAGAGGAGTAAAGTTAGCATGAGATCTAATTACGTCTCACGAGAGAGGAGAAAGAGTGAACAAATAGAAACGTGTCTCATGCGAGAGAAAAAATGTGAACTTGAGATCCAAAAGCGTCTCACACGAGAAGAGGAAAGTGAACTTGAGATCCAAACACATCTCACACGAGAGGAGGAATGTGAACTTGAGATCAAAACGTGTCTCACGCGAGAGGAGGAATTGTGAACTTGACATCTAAACGCGTCTCACGCAGGAGGTGTAATAATGAACTTGAGCTCCAAACAAGTCACATGTGAGAGGAGGAAATTGAACTTGAGATCCAAACGCGTCTCATGCGAGAGGAGGAACAGTGAACTTAAGATCCAAACACGTTTCACGCGAGAGGAGGAATATTGAACTTGAGATCCAAACACATCTCACGGGAGAGGAGGAAAGTTAACTTGATATCCAAACGCATCTCACTCCAGAAGAGGAATAGTGAACTTGAGATTCTAAGCGTCTCACGCTAGAGGAGGAAAGGGAATTAGAGACCCAAACGCGTCTCATGCTAGAAAAAGAAAGTGAACTTGAGATCCAAACGCATCTCACGCGAGAGCAAGAATAGTGAACTTGAGATCCTAATGCGTCTCACGCGAGGGAAGAAAAGTTAACATGAGATCCAAATGCGTCTTATGCGAGAGGAGAAATAGTGAACAAATCGAAACGCGTCTCATGCGAGAGAAGAAAGGTGAACTTGAGATCCAAACGTGTTTCACGCGAGAGGAGGAAAGTGAACTTGAGATCCAAACGCGTCTCACACGAGAGGAGAAATAGTGAACTTGAGATCCAAAAGCGTCTCACGCGAGAGGAGGAATTGTGAACTTGAGATCTAAACGCATCTCATACGAGACGAGGAAAGTGAACTTGAGATCCAAACACGTCTCACTTAAAAGGAGGAAATTAAACTTTAGATCTAAACACGTCTCACTCGAGAGGAGGAATTGTGAACTTGAGATCCCAACGCTTAACGTGAGAGGAGGAATAGTAAACTCACTACAGGAAAAATGGGCTACAACAACGTTTCTTTTATGGCATTTTGGGAAACGCCGTTATAGATGGCTGAAAAATGGCGTTTGTTGCTCATTGATGGTCCTTCTTCACCTGGCAATAACATTGATGTCTACTTGCGCTTGTTAGTGGACGAACTGATTGAATTGTGGGAAAATGGTGTTCAGACGTACGATGCAGAAACTCATCAAATGTTCCAATTGCACGCGGTCTTACTGTGGACAATAAATGATTTTCCTGCATATGCAAATTTGTCTGGATGGAGCACGAAAGGTGCTTTAGCTTGTCCTTGTTGTAACATACGTACTCGACATCGGTATTTGAAGAATGGAAGGAAAATTTGTTACATGGGGCATCGCCGCTGGTTGAATGCGAGTCACAAATTTCGAAAAGATGGTGCGTCTTTTGATGGAACTTCTAAATTTGAACCATGTCCAACTCGGTTATCAGGGGCTAATGTGTTACGACAACTAGGGCCTAAGCATCAACCAACTAACAGACAAAAAAGAACTAGGAAAGGAAAGGAAAAAGAGGACAACGAGGAGGATCATAATTGGAGGAAGAGGAGTATTTTCTTTGAGCTTCCATATTGGGAGCATAATTTGATTCACCACAATCTTGATGTAATGCACATTGAGAAGAACGTGTGTGATAATGTATTGTGGACGATATTAAATGTTGATGGGAAAGGAAAGAATAATTTAAATGCTCGTCGAGACTTGCAAGATGTGGGAATTCAAAAGACATTACATCCTAAAAAAGGGGTTGGGAACAGGTAATATTTGCCGCCTGCATGTTTTGCTATGAACAATAGAGAGAGAGGTTTGTTTTGTACACTCCTGAAGAATATCAAAGTTCCAGATGGGTATGCATCCAATATTTCTCGTCGTGTTAACCTCAAACAACATAGCATATCTGGACTGAAAAGTCATGACAACCATATATTGATGCAACAAATACTTCCAATAGCAGTGAGAAATTTGTTACCAAAAAAAGTTGCTGAACTATTGATTGAGTTAAGCAATTTCTTCAGGCAATTATGCTCCAAAACTCTAGAGCCAGATGGGTTAGATCGTCTTCAATCCCAAATTGCTCTTACACTTTGTCATCTTGAGAGAATTTTTCCTCCATCATTTTTCGATATAATGGAGCACTTGCCTATTCACCTAGCAGAGGAGGCCAAGATTGCTGGTCCAGTGTAATATCGCTGGATGTACTTCATAGAAAGGTGTGCAATTCTACTCCAATTTAAGGTTGTAGTCATTTGTTTGTTTGTAATTGAAAGTCATGTGTGCATTTGTTTGTTTATAGGTATCTTATGACACTTAAGTCATATATGCGTAATCGAAGTCATCCAGAAGGTTCAATTGCAGAGGGATACTTAGTTGAAGAGTGTATGACCTTTTGCTTAAGGTACTTGGATGATGTCGAGTCAAAATTGAATCGACCAATAAGGAATTACAATGTTAGCGACAATCATGGGATATTACTGGGTCATGCTTTAGGAAAAGGAAAAGGGTTTGCACTTGATAACATATCATGGGTATAAGCTCATCGGTATGTGTTATTTAACACTACTGCGGTTGTCCCATATCGAGAGTAAGATACAATCTTTGTTCCAAATTTTATTGATACCATTAATAAGTATCTTGCATTTTATAAGTACTTTAAATGTATAGGGAGCATCATGATTTTATTAAGCGGTCACATCGTCGTCTCAAAGATTTTGATGTGGATCGCCGTCACAATGATGAGTTTCCCAGATGGTTTAATTCTCATGTAAGTACTAATAACTTACATGTTTTTTATTTTCAATTTTCATGTTTTCAATTTTTAATTCTCTGTTACTTGATGTTTAATTTTGTTGACTTTGTAAAAATAGGTTGAAGAGCTTCTAGCTATTGAAAATGATGTGTTGTCAGATGAGATTAAAACTTTGGCATTGGGACCTAGTAAAAAGGCCATGAGATTCAATGGGTATATAATTAATGGTACTAGGTATCATACGAGGAGTCCTGAGTGGAGAAGAAAAACTCAAAATAGTGGGGTTATGGTGAAAGCAAAGACTTGTGGCTATGCAAGTACCAGAGACAAGAATCCTGTGGAAGGTGAAGTAGCATACTATGGATATGTGACAGATATTATTGAATTGTATTACTCATACGACCGTAGATATGTGCTATTCATGTGCGACTGGATTGACAACAACAAAGGACTGAAGCAGGATGGGTTTGGTTTCACACTTGTTAATTTCAATCATTTGTTATATACAAAGAAACAAAATAGTGATGAGCCATTCATCCTAGCATCTCAGGCACAACAAGTTTTCTATGTTAATGATCCCGTTGAAGCTGATTAGGATGTTGTAGTCAAGATGAAACCTAGAGACTTGTATGAGGTGTGTGGAGAACAACCAATTAATGATGGAGAACATCACAATGAAGTGGAAGGATTTGGCGACCAAGAGTTAGACGCAACTTCGTTTGCTTGTGAAGAGGACATAAATTGGGTTAGACAAGGTGAAGTTGGAACAACTATTGATGAAACTATTGGACCTCTTGGGATATCGACACAGGCACAATCTGAAGATGATGAAGAAATGATATGATATTGTAATTTTGTTTCATATTCGTTGTTACATTTGTGCTTTTAGCATGGATATTCATGTTAATGAAACCTTTGCTTTTAAAATGGGTCATTTGTTTTTTTACTATTTTGGAAAATCTTAATGTAGTAGATTCTTTTGTGCCAAAAATGGTGTTGAACTGGTTAAAATTACAATATCATATTCTGTTAGATATTAAAATTCTATTGTTTTTGTATTCACTATTGTATCTATTGTACTTTGTATTCATTGCTAACCCATAAAATTCTACACGTATGCTTGTGGTCTTCTGTTAACTAGCATGACAAATCGACGATGCTCTAGGCAGAGGCAACATTCAGCCTCTGCAAATTCTGAAAGTTCTTATAGTGGGAGTGCAAATGAGAGTTCTTATAGTGGGAGTTCAGATGAGAGTTCAGAGGAGAGTACACGCATCATACCTGATCCACCCATATCACGGTATCCTCCAGGTAGCTTGCCTAGTGCACCATCGAGTATTGGTTCAACACATGACACTACTGCTGGTATGAATTATTTTATTCAAATGAATTACTCCATTAGATTTCTTTGTTAATGTTCTTTTTTCTTTTGATGTTTTACATTTCTTTTTTTTTTAACTAAGTGACACTACTCCATTTGCAAAAGGGGAACTCTACCCCAAATATTTAATTACCAAGTATGTTAGGGGTCCTCTAGGGAAACCATAAAGGCTTCTATGTTATGAACTAATAGCAAGATACAGTCCAATCTAATTAGAGGTTGTAATGATCATTCTACAGAAAAACAAGCTTAAAGATGGCACTATTAGATGAAAAATGATATATATAGTCCGACTAAAGTTCATTTCAAGATTGACATAACATTCTAACTAAAGTTCATTTCAGTATTTATTTATTTCTTTTGTTCTTTTTCTTTGAATGCATACCAAATTGCAATGGAAGCCCCCATACACATAAGAGTGTTAAACTACTACTACAAAAGAGCAGACATGCTATATTTAAAGGATAGGAAACATTTGCAGGAAAGGGGGAAAAAAAAAAAAAAACAGATGGCAGTGCACCATCTGATAGTCACAACCAACTTAATTAGTACATACTTGGCTGCCTCAGTTTGCCTCATTTTCCTCATCTGGCTACCAAATGAGGATAGTGCAAAAACAAACTACCAAATGTGGCCCTAAATGTTGGTGCTGTTTTTTTCGGTGTCTGCTGGGGTGACGGGCTGTGTTTGGTGTGGATCACCACTGAGAGATGGTGACATGGAGTTCGAAGAGGACTGAATAATTTCTTGAGAACTTTGTTGTTGATGTGTGTCCACAATATCTCTCTTTCTTTTCTTGTTAGAGACTTTACCACGATGAGTGTGTCGCCGACTGCTAGTAGAACCAACATGTTCAGTTTGTTGGTTACGTAGTTGAGTTAGCCTCCTCTGAAACTCCAGTGCTATAATAAACATCATGTCCTCATCGTCATCAGATGAAGATGAACCACATAACATAAGTGTTTTCAGCAAGTTGCTCATTGTTGTAGTTTAGTATGCTCTGAAGATCTTGTAATTTATAGAGGGACAAAAAAAAAGGGATAGTGGTTAGTAGGTAGAAGAATGATGAATGGAAGCAGAAAATGGTAGTTGTGCTAAAAAAATAAAATTTGCTCTATCAAAGCAACATTAAAATAAAAAATAAATAAATAAAAGACATTTTAACATTGAAATTTGGTAGAAGTTACTAAAGAAAATATCAAACAAGAAACTATACCTCAATTCTAGGCCTCTTGATGGTAGAAGTTGCAGATGATTATAAGTCAGATGCTTCAGAACCAGTCAAATGCTTGAAACTGTCATTTACACTACCAGCAGATGATACAAAAATCTATGATGCTTGAAACTGTCATGTTGGGCATCGGGGTGATTGCTTTTGCAATGATTTGGGACTGATTTGGGACACTTGATCAAAGCAGAGTGAAAACAAAAAAATAAAAAAGGAAAACAAAACAGTATATAGAACACGTTAGGAGATCAATATAACTATGGTATCATGCTGTATTTTAATTCATCACACTTCAAAGCTGCATTTTTGCAAGCCTTGATACTTCCTAATATAGAAAGAAATTGGATTTCAAATTACTAATAATAATAATTTCCTGCAGCAGAATATACAATTAGAGAAGAGTATGCATTATTGGATGAGATGGAATCATTTTGATGCTAATGAGATGCTATTTTAAGTCCTGCATAATAACTTCCAAACAAACAATTAAGGGAAGATTATAATTTATTTCTTATACATTTTTTTCCTTTCCATATTTCTAACAAAGTGTGTCAAGTTTAACAGACTATTTTCAGTTTGGAGTCCACAGAGCTGTAAAATGATAAAAATAATTTTTAAGTTATTAGGTACCAGCAATGGCGAAACTAGTTGTATAGTAATGGGTGCCATGGCATTCCCTAGCCTTGATTAAAACACAAAAACTAGGTATAGTATATAATCTTTATTTGATTCAAATTCAATGTCACACACACTAGCCAGTTCTGAACTAGATCTCTCTCTCTCTCTCTCTCTCTCTCTCTCAAATTGAAGCTCGAAGAAACCTGTCATCACCGCAGATCAGGGTTAATCATAGTCTCTCTTTTTGCCTTCGCTGTGGCAGCACCCCCAGGATAAAATCCTAGTTCCACCCTTGGTACCAGTTACAGCATAATACCAAACAATTCTACCATAGTGATTAGAATAAATATTTCTAGGAAAACAGAAAATATAGCAATGAATGTTGAGCAGAGCAGTATATAGAACACATTAGGAGATCAATATTACTATGGATGATCATTGTATGTAAATGTTTCATTCATTGACTGCCCAATTTTTGTTATGAAATAGCTGTAGAACACATTTGTGATTTTATTGCCTTGCTCTTGATCCCTCCATTCTTGTATTAGTTTCCTAGAAAAATTTATTGAAGGTTATTATGGCTCTCTGAAGAACATGAAGTTCTGCTTTGTGAATAATTATGATGAAAAATTCTAATTTAAGACCTCCAATACACCTTTACTGACATGGACAGGCCCACTTGAATGTCACCCTCTCGCGACGACAATGAATAATTTATCGATGATGTGATGTTTTGTTGACAATTACATTAATTTCTTTGACAGTTTTGTGACAGGAACCCAAGTATCTTATCAATTTTTATCATTCTTTCTAGTATCTTCTAACTTGATATTGATATTTGGATGAGTAGGTCATAGTTCGAGAAGCCCAACACTCATGCATGGTATTGATTGGAACCCAAGTGGTGGCATTTTACATATTGTGCCTAATGAGTTGAACCAAGTGGTTGACGGGTATACACCCTTGGCTTCTCGTTTGGGTGTTTTAGCTTGAGATGGGAACCTTATGCCCCTCACTTATAGAACTTGGAGCCATGTACCGAAGGAAAACAAAGAGAGAATTTGGAGAGAAGTAAAGGTAAAAGAATTATTTCATTTTACATATCAATTTTAATCTTAATTTGTTATTATTTATTTTATTTGTTTCATATTTTATAGTTGATCAATTTTAAGCTTTGATTTTTTGGAAAGCTTACCACTACTTCATAAAGTCCAAGAAATTGTGTACCTATTGAAAGTCTTCAATTTGAATCACTATATCACAAGATTAGTAATGTTTGCCATATAAATTGCTTAAGCCCTTTATTGCACTTCTATTTCCAGGATCACATGCAGATACTACAGTCGCAAACATAGAACATGCTTTATCACGAAGAATATGCACAATGTGGAAGAAATGGCCCACCTAGCACCACCTGAAAAGATTAACCAATAAGAAGAGCCAAGTTTGAGCACCAAGCAACAAAAAATGGAAATATGAGTCCAGTACAGACATAAGATGAAGGCCAGCTGAAAAGTGTCTGCTTCAGGCATTGATGTTTAACTATAGCGATCCTGGTTTTGACCTCACACTTGTGGTAGTCCGGACTAAGGTACTTGGATGATGTCGAGTCAAAATTGAATCGACCAATAAGGAATTACGATGTTAGCGACAATCCTGGGATATTACTGGGTCATGCTTTAGGAAAAGGAAAAGGGTTTGCGCTTGATAACACATCATGGGTACAAGCTCATCGGTATGTGTTATTTAACACTGCTGCGGTTGTCCCATATCGAGAGTAAGATACAATCTTTGTTCCAAAATTTTATTGATACCATTAATAAGTATCTTGCATTTTATAGGTACTTTAAATGTATAGGGAGCATCGTGATTTTATTAAGCGGTCACTTCGTTGTCTCAAAGATTTTGATGTGGATTGCCGTCACAATGATGAGTTTCCCAGATGGTTTAATTCTCATGTAAGTACTAATAACTTACATGTTTTTAATTTTCAATTCTCATGTTTTCAATTTTTAATTCTTTGTTAGTTGATGTTTAATTTTGTTGACTTTGTAAAAATAGGTTGAAGAGCTTCTAGCTATTGAAAATGCTGTGTTGTCAGATGAGATTAAAACTTTGGCATTGGGACCTAGTAAAAAGGCCACGAGATTCAATGGGTATATAATTAATGGTGCTAGGTATCATACGAGTTGTGAGTGGAGAAGAAAAACTCAAAATAGTGGGGTTATGGTGAAAGCAAAGACTTGTAGCTATGCAAGTACCAGAGACATGAATCCTGTGGAAGGTGAAGTAGCATACTATGGATATGTGACAGATATTATTGAATTGTATTACTCATACGACCGTAGATATGTGCTATTCATGTGCGACTGGATTGACAACAACAAAGGATTGAAGCAGGATGGGTTTGGTTTCACACTTGTTAATTTCAATCATTTGTTATATACAAAGAAACAAAATAGTGATGAGCCATTCATCCTAGCATCTCAGGCACAACAAGTTTTCTATGTTAATGATCCCGTTGAAGCTGATTAGGATGTTGTAGTCAAGATGAAACCTAGAGACTTGTATGAGGTGTGTGGAGAACAACCAATTAATGATGGAGAACATCACAATGAAGTGGAAGGATTTGGCGACCAAGAGTTAGATACAACTTCATTTGCTTGTGAAGAGGACATAATTGGGTTAGACAAGGTGAAGTTGGAACAACTATTGATGAAACTATTGGACCTCTTGGGATATCGACACAGACACAATTTGAAGATGATGAAGAAATGATATGATATTGTAATTTTGTTTCATATTCGTTGTTACATTTGTGCTTTTAGCATGGATATTCATGTTAATGAAACCTTTGCTTTTAAAATGCGTCATTTGTTTTTTTACTATTTTGGAAAATCTTAATGTAGTAGATTCTTTTGTGCCAAAAATTGTGTGGAACTGGTTAAAATTACAATATCATATTCTGTTAGATATTAAAATTCTATTGTTTTTGTATTCACTATTGTATCTATTGTACTTTGTATTCATTGCTAACCCATAAAATTCTACACGTATGCTTGTGGTCTTCTGTTAACTAGCATGACAAATCGACGATGCTCTAGGCAGAGGCAACATTCAGCCTCTGCAAATTCTGAAAGTTCTTATAGTGGGAGTGCAGATGAGAGTTCTTATAGTGGGAGTTCAGATGAGAGTTCAGAGGAGAGTACACGCATCATACCTGATCCACCCATGTCATGGTATCCTCCAGGTAGCTTGCCTAGTGCATCATCAAGTATTGGTTCAACACATGACACTATTGCTGGTATGAATTATTTTATTCAAATGAATTACTCCATTAGATTTCTTTGTTAATGTTCTTTTTTCTTTTGATGTTTTACATTTCTTTTTTTTAAACTAAGTGACACTACTCCATTTGCAAAAGGGGAACTCTACCCCAAATATTTAATTACCAAGTATGTTAGGGGTCCTCTAGGGAAACCATAAAGGCTTCTATGTTATGAACTAACAGCAAGATACAGTCCAATCTAATTAGAGGTTGTAATGATCATTCTACAGAAAAACAAGCTTAAAGATGGCAATATTAGATGAAAAATGATATATATAGTCCGACTAAAGTTCATTTCAAGATTGATATAACATTCTAACTAAAGTTCATTTCAGTATTTATTTATTTCTTTTGTTCTTTTTCTTTGAATGCATACCAAATTGCAATGGAAGCCCCCATACACATAAGAGTGTTAAACTACTACTACAAAAGAGCAGACATGCTATATTTAAAGGATAGGAAACATTTGCAGGAAAGGGGAAAAAAAAAACAACAGATGGCAGTGCACCATCTGATAGTCACAACCAACTTAATTAGTACATACTTGGCTGCCTCAGTTTGCCTCATTTTCCTCATCTGGCTACCAAAATATGAGAGAGACCCGTGTGTTTGTTTCAAGCCTCTCTTAATAACATGGTGAGAGAGATCTAGAATAAATTAGGGGTTACATATTTATATATTCTCACATAGCATCATTACTTCTTCTTTAGTGTAAAGTTGACATTAAAACTCAATATAGAAAAGGTAGAAAGAAAAGTAGCAAAATTGCAAGGAAAATATTGAATCATTAAAAATATGACCAATTAAAGTGTGTTAGAATGACTTTGGATTAATTATACCGGACAAGGGGTACCTGCTGTGCGGGCAAAACAGCATAGTTTTGATGCCTCAGTTTGCCTCATTTTTTTTTTTTTTTTTTTTTTATTTGAGGATTTGTAAAGTTTCTTTAACAGCCTAGTTTCGTGGTTTGAAACAAAACAAAGATAAAACCTTACAAATCTTCAAGACCTCAGAGACTTTTTGTGTGTGTTTGTGATTGTGTAGGTGTGTGTTGTTCAAAAGACAAAAATTGTACTACTGTGTGTTGGAAGTAGTAGTTGTGACCGTTGGAGCGTATTAATCTGTCACACTGTGACAATCCTCATCATGGCATATCAACAATGCTTCCATTGTCATGTGCATTATGCACAGATAGCAGAAAACTATAATTTTATTTATTTTCAATTACTTTGACAATTTTTATCATTCTTTCTAGTATCTTCTAACTTGATATTGATATTTGGATGAGTAGGTCATAGTTCGAGAGGCCCAACACTCATGCATGTGTAACAAGCCCCGCGGGGGACCTCGCTACAGCTCGGACTCTCGGCTTTTCGTAGTCACGGTTCTAAGTCTGAACCAAAGAGTCCAAATCCGGCAAATCGTTTTAGGAAAACTGATTTTTGAAAGAAGTGCCAAACATGGACTGCTTTAGTGGTGGCATTTTACATATTGTGCCTAATGAGTTGAACCAAGTGATTGACGGGTATACACCCTTAGCTTCTCGTTTGGGTGTTTTAGCTCGAGATGGGAACCTTATGCCCCTCACTTGTAGAACTTGGAGCCATGTACCGAAGGAAAACAAAGAGAGAATTTGGAGAGAAGTAAAGGTAAAAGAATTATTGCATTTTACATATCAATTTTAACTGAATATTAACTCATTTTACATATTAATATTGTTTGCCTTGTCTAGTAGATCCTTGTCAATATTAATTCCTTGAGTTTTGAACATATATGAGGATAATTAGTTTAAAGCATGCTTTAGGATGAGATAATTTGTCTAGGTATGATAACGTGCCTACCGTATATGAGGATAACATTAGTGCTTTAGGATGCTTTAGATCCTTGTCTTCAATTTTTTTATTATTTGTTTTTTTCCCTTCTTTTTATAAAAAAAGAAATGCACTAATGTTAAATTTTCAAATAAGCACAGCTCCAGCAAGATCTAGGTGCAAGCTTTTTGTTTCTAGAATCAAGCTCAATTAGTCAGGAGACCGTATAATTTAGGAAGTACCACTTAATTATGAGAAATCAACAACGAAATCAAAAATCTTCTGATTAGAAAGAATATCATGGACGTGACTGTACTTTTACCATTCAATTTATTAATTGTCTCTTAAAAGTTTATGCTTCTAATATGATACTGAAAAATGTACATTGTGCAAATGGAAGTTTATTATCTTTACATTTATTTTTTAATTAACCTATTTACAATAAGAGAGCCTGCAAATCTTGTACTTCATTCGAAAGGCTTATAACTAACTTATCTACATTTCTTACTTTGGATTCTTAAACATGTATATGAACCAACTAGAGTGGAAGTTTTACCTAAAATTTGTTCACTCCTTATATTGGCGATGTAACACTGAACAATAAGACCTCCAAATGAATGTCCAAGCAACACTGGTGGCAACGTTACTTCTTTCCTGATGAAGTCAGCAACATCTGCTGCATGTGTCTACTGCAGTAAAGAGTACATAAGAAGTGGATTCCATCAAAAATGAAATAAGGCAAGAAGATCCTAAAATGAGGTAATAGAAAGAGTGGAGAGCTAAATACCTGAAGTGAACCTGCAACTGGACCAGCAGGTGCATCACTTTCACCCTGATTATGTAGAGAAGTATGCCAAACAAGGATTAAAATTTAAGCTCAATGGATAAGGATACTTTAAAACCAGGAAAAGTATCAAAACTGTTACGTAACCAAAATATTAGCTATGTAGGATTAATAATCAAAATACATATATGAATCTGTAACTTTGATTTTCAGCATACACAATATAAAACTGTCAAAATCATATTTACAGACCTTCCTCCCAAAGGTGTCCTTTATTTTGGCTAGGAAAGTCCTAAGTTTTAAATCACAAAAAAAAAAATAAAAAAAAAAATCAAATATTACAGTGAAGCTCATTACATTCCTAAAAGCAACACGCGTTTAGAAAAGGGAAAGCACTCCTAGCAACTAACACAAAATATAATCTATTAAGTAGATCTAATTAAGACCATAGATAGGCTAACAAAAAACACAAACTGACCAAATGGAACACTGCTAAGGCTATCTCTTATTCATTCCTCCTGTTAAAAAACACTTCTGAAATATAGAGTTTCAGTCTCCATGGTCCTCGAAACATATCGAATTATGGGAATGATATAGTGTAATTTCATAAAGTAATTGTGTCCTGATCTCTTGATTCTTGTCTTTTAAATGTCTACAAGCCTGTGATCTTGAAAACAACTTCTGAAATATAGAGTTTCAGTCTTCAGTCATCTAGCATGGCACAATATATAGTCACAAAGTTGCCAATTATTTGCAGGTCAATACAGATGCCGATGAGTCAATGAAGAAATTTGTTTTGGCATCTGTTGGAAAAAAAATGGAGAGAGTGGAAGGCTAGAGTTAAACAAATGGGGTATACGCCATTCGACAACGATGCTGATAGGTTAACTCATCGACCCGAAAGAGTACATGAGCATCAATGGCGAAGCTTAGTCTATTATTAGGGCACTCGGAAGGCACAGGTATTATTTAAATTGTTTATTGATCTCTATCGTAATCTCATAAGATGAGTTTGTTAAATTAATAAATTATCTTGTGTTTGTGTTCATATGTAACAGAAAAAAAAGTACAAAAAACAAAGAAATTTGGAAGAAGAAGACATTAAATCACATAACTGGCAGAAAACCATTCTCAGTTGTTCGAGTAGAGGTATATAGTTTCTTTATATTTCAAATTGAAATTGTATATTTTGATTTTGTTACTTAATTTTAAGTGTAATTATAGGAAACTAATAAGAAGAATGGAGTTATTGCAACTCGTTTAGAGGTGTGGATGGCTGGGTACTCGAAGGATAACAAACCAAGTAATGATAAAGTTGCTGAGGTCATGGTATGTAGCACCATAATTATAATAATGCATTTTGCAGAACATTGACAGCTATGATTAGTTTGAGAAATCATTTCAAGTGCTCACTCTAGAGACTAAGTGGAGCACTGGATTCAAGATGTTTATGATATCAACCCAAGTAATTTTGAACTCTTATTGAATTAAAGACATAAATCTACTACTAACATATATATAAGGTAGTTGGTAATTATTTTTGGTTGGTGTATTTATTGATGAGGATGATAATTTTTGCTTTGCAATTGTTTAAATTTTACTGGTAGTTTGTTTGGTTTTAATCAGTAAATCACAAGTAACAATCCACTTACTCCAAACCAATCGGGCAAATATCACAATTCTATAAAAGACTATATATACCTTTCCACATAGGCACACAAGTGTGAGTTGAATCATAGAGACTATGAACAGATTTGATGTAGAAACTACCTGATGAATAAAGTAGAAATCTAAACTTGAAGAGAGACAAAGTAGATAGTTAAATTTGATAGAGAGTTACCTTTAACAGTGCCTGCAAATTGGAAGTGTGAATTAACTAATTATGTTTTGCTCGTAGGCTGAATTTTATTGGTGGCTAATTACTAATTAACAATTGTAGACACAAATGAAGGATCTTGGGGCGCAATCCAATGCTACAAATGAAGAAATTATCACACAGGTTCTAGGGCCTGAGCGACCTGGTCGTGTTCGAACATACGGATTGGGTCCTTCTCCGACAGATGTCTTTGGAGGCGGATATAGGCAATCGCAAGAACAAACTTGTATCATCCAAATGCAAGTCCAAGAGCAACTTAACCAATATAAAGCACAAATGGAGATGCAAATGAAAGAGATGATGGATGCTATGCTTAATCAACAGAAAGTACAAATGGAGATGCAAGGCACAATCCAAGCTCAACAAGCACGAATAGAGCAATTGGAGTCTCAACAGGCCATGGGTGGGCCTGTTGCACCAGCTGCTACACATGTGCATTCACAACAACAATCCCATGCATAAACCTCATCGTTTAATTGCCATCGTTCGTCCGAGGAAGTGAGTAAATAGTTAATTATGAAATTTTCATATGACATTTTATTCATGTTATTTGTTCTTATCAAATGCAGGTTCACATATCAAAGAATGAAAAGAAGAAGAAGAAGAAAAAGAAGTAGATATGACAAACTCAGGTTCATTCTAAACCATTCTAGTTGGATTGCTTTCTCCTTCTAACTTATTTGTTGATTGGCTTCAAGTTCAGTCTAGTTAGTTGACATTAAATGGATTTTGTTTTTTCTCAGTGATTTAAAATTGATAGTCCTAGAATTTTAATGTCCAAGCATGCAGCCAATGTGTACACACTTAAAATTTTACATCACTGAGCACTCAATTGGTGGCGTCTGAGTCTTAAGGTCGGTCAAAAATGGGGTGTCTACAAAATGCAGGTTCACATATCAAAGAAAAAAAAGAAGAAGAAGAAGAAGAAGTAGATATGAAAAACTCTTCAGGTTTTGGTTCATATTCTGTTATGCTATGACAAACTCTTCAGGTTTTGGTTCATTTTATTCATGGTTTTGGTTCATATTCTGTTATGCTATGAAAGCTGGTCCAGTCTTCAGGTAGAAACCCATTAACCAATTTATGAACGTGTTTTAGTTTTTCCTATCCTGAAAAATATTTTCCACTTCCTCTATGAACTTTATTTTTGACAGATTTTTGTCCTATAATCCTGTTGTTTGACAGATTTTTCTTGAATTGTTTGAAACAATTCTACTTGGGGGTTTTTTTCTCTTTAGTGTTCCCTTGGTGTTGCTTGCCTGTGCAAGTAGCTTTGAAACACTGCCTACAAATTGTTTTTGGTTTCATTTGGTGGTTGGGTTGTTTTACTAGTGTCAACTTATCGTTTTCAATTTAGTTTAAATAATCTAGTCCACCTGTGAATGTGTGGGTTTGGTCAGTGATTATTGAAAGTATTTGTTGTGGATTTAAACACATTGGTGTTTCCACTGATTTATTGGATGATTATACCAAGTCAATTGTCAGTAATATGCTTTGTCATTGTGCATATTATTTTCTTGAAAGTTGTATTTGGATCTTCAATTTTGGTGGGGTTTTGTGGAAGGGGAAAAAAAGAAAAGGGAAACAAAATGTGAATAAGATTTAGCTTACATGTTATTTACATTTCCCTTCAATTTCCTTGTGTCACGTTTCTTATTAGTTGTACATGATATTGGTGGCTAGTCCGAATTGTTTACCCCTATTGGTTATATCCTATGTTAATGGTACTTGTCATAAACATTTTAAGTCTTTGTTGTGTACTTAATGTTATTAAGAAATGCATTAGAAAATGATAATTTGTGAGGGTCAGGAAATTAAAAGGAGAGATTTAGAATGTGGGAAGTCCGTGGATATTAAATGGATTTTGAGGCAAGGTGCTCTTATCAAGTTAACAGTCACACCTAGAGCGTGGCAGGGCCGTGGCTTGTTGGGCTATGTTTGTCATTCCACTTTTGCAGTGCTCCCTTTTTTGTTTAGATTATCCATTAAACCTTTCATACTGTCATTTCTAGCTGCATTTTGTGTGAAAATATTAGTATTTGCTGGTTGATTCTCACAATTATCACTCATATGTTCTCTTTAACATTTCTGTTGTGAGATATAAGATACATTTTGTCCTAGCAGATACTATTATTCCAAAATCTAGCTCCCTTAGAGCGTGGCAGGGCCGTGGCTTGCTGGGCTATGTTTGTCACTCCACTTTTGCAGTGCTCCATTTTTTGTTTAGATTATCCATTAAACCTTTCATACTGTCATTTCTAGTTGCATTTTGTGTGAAAATATTAGTATTTGTTGGTTGATTCTCACAATTATCACTCATATGTTCTCTTTAACATTTCTGTTGTGAGATATAAGATACATTTTGTCCTGGCAGATACTATTATTCCAAAATCTAGCTCCCTTATCCCTTCCAAATTTGAGAAAAGGCACTTGCAAGATGAGTATATTTTGATGAGAATGTTATTGTGAAAAATTACTTCTGTTGCAGCCTCTAGAGGTTGAGTCTTTTAATGTTTGTTGGAATAGATGGTTTCTGCCCATGAGGAGCAAGCTCAATGGGGGATGTTCAAACAAATTGTAGGGTAATGATTCTTATAATTATTTTCTACATTATTAATCCTTAAGTTTAGGTCAAAGCAACCTTAAGTGGAACAGTTGACAGAACATAGATTTTACTGTCAATTTAACTATCAATTAAGTGTTAATTTATGTGAATTATTTGCAGATGTCATTTCCGAATCCCATGATCATTTACATGGTGCTTTGATGAATAGTGATACTTCGGTTTGGCCAGCCAGAAGACAATGCCCCAGTAGATGTGTTCTGAACATTCACTCTCCTCTTTGCTAGTCCATAGGGGTAAAAGGATGGTGGATGTTACTATTTTGGTTTCATTGTTGTTGTTACTACAATTTTATTACTACTATTTTGGTTTTGTTTTGATTACCGGGAAACCAGATGATGTATGTTTTTGCCTAAATGAACTAGATGACAGCCCTGTTGATGCTATTCTTATGTTGTTGGTGATCTTTTGATGTTCCTGTTATAGACTTGCTGCTACCGCGGTCTTATTGATGCTCTACTACTACTGTTGCTGTATATACATGTTGTGTTGCAGTTGATGTTAGTAGTAGTTTCTAACGGATGTGCCTCATTTCAGTGCTCTTTTTCTTTTTCTTCTTTTTTTTTTTTTTTTTTTGTCATACAAGAAACGATTCAAATGGAACCAAGAATAGCTTCATTTTAATAAAATATTCCCTAATTTCAATTAATGGATGGAAAAAAAAATATTCCCTACTGAGCTAACAAGAAAAAAAAAACCAACATATCATTCAAAATGGTATTTTATTTCATATTTTTGCATCAGCAGCAGGCCCCCTCACCCAAAAAAAAAAAAAAAAAGGTGGCGTTTTTGAAAAAACGCCACTAAATGATATCATTGTGACGTCACACGTTAATTTGGGACGGAGGGTGAGACGGTCGTCAAAGATTTTGCGGCGTTTTAAGAAACGCCGTTGTAGACACCCCATTTTTGATCGACCATAAGACTCAGTCATCACTGATTGAGCGCTTGGTGATTTTGCATATTGTGCTAGTTCTGAAGTTTTAGAGTCTCGGCTGCGAGCCTTGCCTCCGGACTTCGAGGCTCTTTTGTGCTTTGGCTCGGTTTGCGAACCGGGTCCCGTTTTCTCCGTTTTCTCTTCCCGAAGGGAGGGAGAGGTCTCGTAGACCACCTCTCAGTGGCCGTAGGCTACGTTTTGTGGTTGTAGGCCATTTTTCCCGTTTGGAGCCCGGTTTCTGGTTTTTCGGAGCCGTCGGCCGTGTGCCTCGGTTCGGGACTGCTTAACCACCTCCGTTTGCTCCGGTTTTTGGCACACACCTTATTTCCTCCCTTTTTAGGGACATTGTGGTCCGAGAGACCAACTTTGTGGTCGAACACCACCTCCGGTGCTTAATAGTCAGTTTTTGGGGCCCCAGGCCGCACGTTTTGGCCCCCGAACCTTCGTTTTGCATCGGTTTGGGTTCATTTTTGGCAGAGACCTTATTTTCATTGTTAGGAAGGTTGTAGAAGGGTGGGAGGCCAGC